TAATTAATAATATATAATATAATATAATTATTAATTGTACCTGCTCCATCTGTTGCAAACATAAACGTGTTTGAAGGTTTGGACCATCCGAATCGATTTCTAGCAGTGACGAAAGCTTCATAAATTGTATTTTCTTTCAGTCCTTCAAATGTGTACATTTTCGAATGCGTGTATCCTGTGCTCATTTCCGCTGGAATGTACAACTTCTTCCATCGATTATTGCTTTGAGATTTAAAAGATAATAAATACTCAATTATAGGCATGTAGCTATCGACTTCCCAAATTAATTTGTACGAATTTTTGGTATTAACGTCGTGCTGATTGGCCATTTTGAAAACAGGTGGTTGGGGTATACCTAAAACGTGCAATTAAACAGTTTTTATCGTTATTAAAATTAAATATAAATCTAACAAAAGCGAAAAGGGTCAACATGACCAAAATCAATATTTTTTGATGATATGTTTAGAAATTAAATTAAATGAATTTCTAAGTGTCCTAAAAATGGACTAAAATTTTAATTTTTTGCTAGAATTTAAACTTCCTTGCGCGCCAATTGGTCCGAATTTTTTGTGTTTATTAAAATTATTCATTCAGGGCCATAGTCAGGGATTACGTCAGGACCTGCCCTGGAAAATTTTAAGTCTGCCATTGCCGCAAGCTTGAGCTTCATAAGGATTTCGAAGTTTCTATGCGTAATTTTTCGATTGTACTTCTCCTGTATTAACAAGGGTTAACCGTTCACAAGGATCATCAGCGAATGTCTTTGATACTTCTTGCATATGAACAAAATCGTACAAAAACTTAATACTCAAGTGCATTTTATGAAGAAATGAAAATTCATCAATGTACTTCAATGAAACAGGAATTATAGCTCAATTATAATCTTTACTTTAAATTGTCCCGGCACCTCCACCAAAATTTTTAATAAATCTTTTTAGCAATTACAATATATATAAAATCGCACAAATACTTAATACTCAAGTGTATTTTCATGAAGAAACGAAAATTCATCAATGTACTACAATGAAACAGGAATTATAGCTCAATTATAATCTTTGCTTTAAATTGTCCCGGCGCCTCCACCAAAATTTTTAATAAATCTTTTTAGCTTTTCCTGATAGTGTCATTTAATTTTCTTTTTATTAGCAGCTCTAAATAAAAAAGTGTAAGGGTATTTAATTATATTCTTTTTCGCCGTACAACTGACTACTAATTTCAAAACATATCAACGCATGCATCTAATAACACGAAAACGTTGGAGGTGTATTAATGTCTTGAATTTATTTAATTAATTATATTAATTATGTAAGCATCACATTACAACAGGACTTGTTTTACATTCTCTTTTTGTTTGAATAAAATTGTTGTAAAATAAATAAGTTTGTTTTTTTATTCGACCCATTTATTTTACCTAACACAACATAAGGAGAAAAAAGTATCGCATCACTGGTGAAGATTAATTGAAATTAACTTTCACTTCTATTAACGGTAACATTCACAAATGATTTTTGTTTTGTTTTTTGGGAGTGTAGTAAAAAAAAGTGCGTTACTTCTTTAGTTTATATCGACTATTTCCAGTCAGATGCTGATCACTTATTTATACGGCCCTGGAATATATCCCTTTTATTTTTGGAAAGTTTCTTTTGTCTACTGTTTCATTTATGGGTGGTAGCTACTAGCTTTCAGGTACATAAATGGCACCGCCGTATCGATCGCCTGCGGCATTCGTTCATAACAATATTCTGATGCAGAAAATGTAATTCACTTTTGACTGTTTTTTTTAATGGATTAATCATTTTATTACGTTTTAATAACGTTTGAAATGTGTAAGGTAGGAGTGTAGTAATTATCTACTCAATGTTTCTTTCGGAGATTCAGGAATGAATAGACGGTTTTATTATTACAGATCATGTTTAATTACATTCAAAANAGAGTATTAAAATTAAAATCGCGTTCTAAATCATATCTTAATTATTGGTATATGGGAATGATGATGGGAAATCAATAGTAGACAAGATATCCAACTATAAATTTTAATTTCAATCTGCGTATGAGAGTACGGAATACATAATAAATACAATCATTCAGATAATAGACTCATGTTAAAAACTGAGAACAATATTTATTTAAATCATTGAATCACTTTGAACTTCAGTTATTCTATCAATAATTTCATCTTCGCTTTGAGTTTCCCAGTCTATAAATGTAATTGTCATGCACTTGCACGAATAAGTGAGAATATAAATGTGACACCGTTAGCTCAGCAAGCCATTAGCGCCGCCATATTGGTTATGGCTGCTCTGCCGAGCGCTTTTCAGTTTTACCCCTACTCCGCGGTCGGCTGTAATGCGGCATGCGATAGATAGACCAAAAAATTTAAGGCGATTTAATAAAAGTTTCACTTTAAAAAAACATGTCTCTTCTATACTCGCGAACGGTTAATTTAGGCATTTGAAAACCATTATTGAAGTTAAAGTTTGAAGTCCGGCTATACACAAGTGCAAAACGTGAACGTGTTTAATATGGGAAGTTGCACGCGAATTATGAAGATACCGTGGGTAGAAAAAGTTGGGAACGAGGAGATATTAGGAAAAAGCAAGAGAACAGAGGCTACTATGGAAGTCCACAAGAAATAGGCGAGATGGATTGTTAGAACACCTTCCTAGGCATCAAGGGCTGGTTAGAAACATACAAGAAAAAAATTGGAAATTTGGGTCAATGTGGTGAATCGCAGCAAATCACAACAGTTTATAGCCAAGAAGCTCGTCCATTATTTATTTTATCTATTCTTTTAAAGTGTTTCATTAAGTGACTATAATTATGATAACTAATTTATATTTGTCGGTTCAAAATATTTGGGGTGCTGGTGATAAAATCTAAAAACAGAATAATAATTCACTTTCTTTTATCAAAATCAAATTTAGCACTTAATTATTGGGATATTTACACAGTAATTGCTATTCATTTGGTTTTGAGATTCCCTTTTTAAGAAATTATTGTATAATTATTTAAGCAACATTTATCAAAAAAAAAAAATGCACTACACCCAAAAAAAAAATTTTATTTTGGATAATAGAAAAAACAATATAATTTAGAACTATACAAAAAATATACATAAAAAAAGGGCTATCAAGTGGCATTATTGAGAGATTGCGTAATTTGTTTGATCTTTCGTATTGCAGATGAACTGG